GAATGCACCCTTTTGGCCTTTGTCCTTGTCTGCATCAGGTTGTTTCTCTCATCCTTGTCCTACGGCTGCAGTCACAGCCAGAGAGCCTCACCTGTCTTACATTACTAGCTTTTACAGAAACAGAGGGGCACTGTATCAATTTAGAGGTGAGAAATAGCTTTTCCTTGCGTCTGCTGGGTCTGTCTCCAATGCCACAGTTTCCATTCCTGGTGAGCTTGGGAGGAGAGAGGTTGGCTGTAAAAAAAATGGCATGAAATCGGGCCTTCTCTCTCTCATCATTTTGGAGTCCTCAGTCTCAACCTTGCCTGCACTTCTGGATCACCCTGGAAGCTTTTCAGTGTCTCTGTGTCCAGGCCATGTCCCAGACTGGTTAAATAAGCATTTCTGAGGGAGCCTCAGACCTCAGTATATTTGCAAAGTCTTCCCAGATCATTATAAATTGCAGTCAAGGTTGCGAGGCATTGTTCCAAGAATAGTTACCTCCATCTCTCCATAAAAGCCAATAAAGACAAATTTTTCCAACAGTTAAGCTGAGGCCAGAGATGATTGTGTTTAAACACCACTGACCTGGCTTCTTAATTTATATGTCTGTCTATGCATGTATCATAGGTGTTATTGAATACCTGCTAGGTGCCTAGCCTGGTGACTAGGATTCCTGGTTGGATCCTTTAAGAAAGCCTCTTCCTTTAAGATGCTAAAAAGTAAGATCTAGTTAGTGGGGATTTTGCTGAGTACAAAGGAAGGGCACGCTTTGGTGAGAGATGTGAGTAAACGGGCCATGGGAGTGCAGAAGAGAAGGGCTTTGAGCCCCAGAGCCCAGGCAAGTTCTTATAAAGGACACCTGAAGGACTGGGAGGATTCAGCCTGTGGAAGAGGTGTGTACAACTGAAGAAGGTGTATTTGCAAGAGGAGAACAGAAATGCACTCATTTTACTAGGCTTTAGTGTAACTGAACATGGGGTGAGAGTAGGGGAAGTAGAGGGAGATGAAGCCCATGGACTCCAGGTAGACTGTAACCAAGGCCATACCGGAAGCTTAAAGTCTGTTCCCCTTCATCTCTTGGTGATAAGGACAGAAGAGGGATGTGTTCTTAACTACCATGGCCCCCACACTGACTTCAGGGGTCCTTTATCCACTTTCTTGACAATGCCCTTGGGCCCTTGGGTCCTTACAGGGGACCTCACTCATTCTTGCTCTCATTGCTGGGTCTGAGGCTGAGGAGAAGGGTGTGGGTTGGAGGTTGAACAGCACCCACCTCCAGCTGTTACCATTACTAACCGTCTCTGTGCCCATGGGACAGGAAAGTTGCCTCTCTTGGGACTGTTTCCTCTACCGTAAAATAAAGATATTCACGGTCCTTTTGTTACTGGGTCTTTAGGAGGCTAGAATTACAAAATCCCAGGCAAAAAAATTACTTAGCACTGCAAACATCATAATTGTCTCTTTAGTAAACATTAATGCTGTCAGCAGTACCCATTTACTGGGGGCACCTGGTATCCCCCAACTCCATAGCTTTTACAGCTATTCTAACCATAGAGACCCGAGAGCCAAGGGAAATAGCGGTCCTACTCTTCCCTTCCTGTGCTGCTGCAGGACTCTCAGTCTCTCCAGCCTGGCTTCCTCCATCACAGCCTCCAGCTCACCTTGAACCAGGGCTGCACCTGCCAGACACGACCTATGGGCTTCCCCAGCACCCTTTCCCTCCCAATTCTGTTTGCAGGAATCAAGTAGATCTAAACTTAGCAACCATAGGTGCTAGTCTTCCACTGCTATATGGAATCTTATTTCAAATCTCAGTTCCTGGGTTCCCCTTTAGTTCATTGTTAATAACCCTTGTCATATAGAAACCTAAAACAGTTACAGAGTCCTTTCATGTTCTCTGGATCCTTAGAATTAAGAGCCACAGTCCTGAAAATGGTCTATAAGGCTCCACATGAGCTGGCCCAGCAGACCCCTCACTGCCTTCTGACCTCATGGCCTACTGCTTTCTCCCTGGCTTATTCCATTCTTGTTATATCCATCCCTTGACTGCCAAGCACATTTCCACCCCAGGGCCTTTGCACCTGTTAGTCCCTTAGTTTGAAATTCTCTTCCTTGACTATCCACAGACTTTCTTCCTCATTTTCTCCAGATTTCTGTTTTCTACCTTACATTAGAGAGGACTAACACGAAGGGCTGGTGGATTAGATGTATGCAGTAAGGACTTGTGTACAATATACACCAATGACTGGTGTGTAGGAACACAGCAATCCTCATATATTTTCCTCACATCAATAAATATTTAGTCGTATATACGTATATATATATATAT